TGGAACCGGGTGATCGTGGAGAAGCCCTTCGGGCGCGACCTGGCCTCCTCGGACGCGCTCTCCGCGCACCTGGGCCGCCTCTTCGGCGAGGAGCAGCTCTACCGCATCGACCACTACCTGGGCAAGGAGATGGTGCAGAACCTCATGGTGCTGCGGTGAGGACCCGCCGGTGTCCCCCRGTGTCCCCCGGTGTCCCCCGGTGTCACCCCGGTGTCGCTCCGGTGCCGCAGGTTCGGGAACCGGCTCTTCGGGCCCATCTGGAACCGGGACCACGTGGCGTGCGTGGTGGTGACCTTCAAGGAGCCCTTCGGCGCCGAGGGCCGCGGCGGCTACTTCGACGACTTCGGCATCATCCGGTGAGCRCCGGCGCCGCGGGGACACCCCRGGGACAYCCCCACCCTAGGGACACCCCGAGGACACCTCAGGGACACCTGGGGACACTTGGGGACACCTGGAGACACCCCGGGGACACCCCAGGGACATGCGGGGACACCTTGGGGATACCTTGGGACACCCTGGGGAAACCTTGAGACACCTGGGGACACCCCAAGGACACACTGGGAACACCTAGGGACTCCCGGGGACACCCCAGGGACACCTAAGGACACCGTGGGGACACCCGCACCCTGGGGACACCTGGGGACACCCTGCGGACACCCACCTCCTGAGGACACCCCAAGGACACCCTGAGAACACTCCAAGGACACCCTGGGGACAGCCGGGGACGCCTAGGGACACGCGGGGACCCCTTGGGGACACCCAGGGACACCCTGGGGACACCCTGGTGACACCGCGGTGACGCCGCGGGGCCGTCTCTGCAGGGACGTCATGCAGAACCACCTGCTGCAGATGCTCTGCCTGGTGGCCATGGAGAAGCCGGCCTCCACGGCCCCCGACGACGTGCGCGACGAGAAGGTGCCCGCGGGGTCCCCACGTCCCCGCGGGGCCACCCGCGGGGTCCCCAGGGCCCCTCAGTGCTGTTCGGGGCGGGGTGGGGCCTCCAAGAGGCTCCGTTGGGTCTGGGGTCTCCAGGAGGCTCCGCTGGGTTTGGGGTGTCCAGGAGGCTCCATTGGGTCTGGAGGCTCCATTGGGCCTGGAGGCTCCAAGAGGCTCCGCTGGGTCTGGAGGCTCCAAGAGGCTCCGCTGGGTCTGGAGGCTCCAGTGGGTCTGGAGACTCCATTGGGTCTGGGGGCTCCTAGAGGCTCCATTGGATCCGGAGGCTCTGTTGAGTCTAGGGGCTCCAAGAGGCTCCATTGGGTCTAGGGGCTCCATTGAGGTTAGGGGCTCCAAGAGGCTCCGTTGGGTCTGGAGGCTCCGTTGGGTCTGGGGAACCTTGGGGAGGTTCCCAGGTCCTCCAAGGTGTCCTGGGGACCCCCTGGCGCCTCTTGGAGTCTCTGGGGAGGTTCCAGGGTCCTCCAAGGTGTCT